GCCCATCTAACCTAAACTATTCCATTATCGTCCATATGTTTCTTCATTTGTTTCTGTGATACTTCTCTTGAAAAGCCACCTCGTGGATCTTTTATGTATTGCATTTGGTAACTTGAGTTGTCTTCTCACTTTTTATCAATAAGAATTGGACTCAGAATCTGTGATCTTTACAAATGAGTTTAATCATTACTTTCTTCAACTAGACTCTACTCCTTTGACTATGTAGTTCATTGATCTGTTTGTTTGGTAACTGTTCTGCATTTGCTTGCTATGCTGAGCATTAAGTCAATTCAGATTCCTACATTTTTTTCAAGTTTATCCATGGCTATTTCAAGACCATTCATGACATGCATTTTTGCATGTTTTTCCTTCCAGTGCACAGCATTTGAAATTTAATTCAGACAAATGTAATCAACATCTGTACTGCCTACTTGCACCTTGTAATTTTTCCACATGTTTCTCAGTGGTTTTTGTAACATTTCCGATTTGTACCTAGGTCCTTATTGAACTATTCTCCTTGTAATTAAGTTGAATGTTTTTAATAACGCCCTTATCTTGTTTAACTGTATAATCAGTAGATACAGATGTGATGAAACTGATGTTTATACATGCATGTTTTGCTGTCGTCTGCTATTGAGAGTTCAGGGTTGGATATATTGGTTTGCCTGTGTATTTGGAGTTGAGAGTTGGCATTTGAGGAAAGACCTACAATACCCATAATTCCAAGTGAGGGGCAGTTACCCAGAGTTCCTAGGGAATAACCTAAAAGGCTCAAGGAGAGAACATTTCTGATTTTTTGTGCTATGACTTGGTTGAGAGAAAACATGTATTAGGATGGAGAAGTTTTTTTTACATGAAGTAACATACCACACAGATTTCTTTTCTTTTTAAAAATAAGCGTTTGATGTAATAAAATTATTTCAGAATAAGTTTTTGTATGTCCTAGACCAAAGTGTGGGGATACCTCTAGCCAAAAGGGTGAAGAATGGAGATCCTTCATTTATTCCTTTATTCATTCATGGGATATGGGCGTAGCTGGCTAGGCAGCATTTATTGCCCATCCTTAATTGCCCAGAGGGCAGATCAGAGTCAACCAAGTTGGTGTGGGTCTGGAGTCACATGTAGGCCAGACTTTGATTTCTAGTCTAATCAAAGTATAGTTGATCGGTACAAATTTTTGCAACCAAGTTATTACATTCAAATAAGAAATGCATAACATTGTAATTTTCTGATCTTGTTGCTTTTGTATATTATTTTGTAGATTTTCTGTTGAACTGATCTTTATTGATCAATAATAAATGTCAACATATTAACGGCAAGGTAAAGATCATGATTTGAAGCTTAAATTCTGAGTACAAAATATTGTGCAATTTTCTGGCAGAATTTCATGCTTTTGTGCCACTTAGGCATTGTCACAGATCAACAAAGAAATCTCCCCACGATTCCTTAATGCGTCTTATGGATTAATCAATTGAATGTGTGCTTTGCTGTACTCTAATACAGTTTTACCATATGAAGGAAACAGTGCAAGTATTGTTTTAGTTTTGGGCAGCATTGCAGTTTAGCAAGCTTCTAATTTTTAATCTTGGAAGCTTCTCTGAGTAGTAAAAATGCTGAGTTTCTGAAATTTTGTACGTTCGGCTACAAGACCTATGTAATGTTGAATAGTTTCTTTGTACCCCACTTACCAATTAGTAAAGAACTAACTTGCATTTCATGATTCCTTACACTTCAGGACGTGAGTGCTTCAGGACCGTTGTCGGCAAATGGAGCAGCCACTTTGCATAACAATGTTCCATTAATAGTTGTAAGACAAATAACCTAATGAATTATGATTAAAGAATAATTATTGGCTCGAGCACTAAGAAGAACTCCCTGATCATCATCAAATAACGCCATGGGATTATTTTATGTGCATGTAGAGAGAATGAGGTTTTGCCTTAGCATTTCATATGAATGAGGTATATCCAACAAATCAGCACTACTTCAGCACTGCATTGATTATATTGGGCTAGATTATTTCTTTAGGTCTGTAGAATGAGGTGAGTCTGGATAAATACGCCTCTTCTTTATTTTTGTGCCCTCTTGAAATGTACTTGATGCATTGTTGAGATAAGCAAGCCTACACTGCAAGGATTAAAATATTAACCATCATGACATTTAAAGCATGAAACAGAAAAAGTTGGAGTTGTTAACTAGCATTTGTTAGTTTTTCAAACCTGATCTGCAATATTTTCCTTGTTTGGAAATCTATGGACCTTCCAGGTAATGTAAGTGGGAATTGGTTTGCAATATTATGGCATTCCATTTTATTGAAATCTGTCAACTGAAAAAAGTTGATGCAATGAGGTGTGCTGACACATTGATCTCCTGTACGTTTGAGTAATCAGATGCAAATGAGAGTGATCACTTCAGTTTTATAAGACTTTTCTTTCTTTTTCACATATTTTAAATTTTTTTGGCTTCATCAATTGATGAGACTTTCTACTGTTGAAGTTGAGAATATGATAGTGTCATGTCAACAGAGTATTTCCACTTCCCGATCTGCTGGCCAAGACAATCTTGTCATGAAAATAACAGTGATAGAGGTTCACTGATAGGGGTAAGGGGTCCCTGTTCTTGGATTCTCTATGTATCCTTATTGTACAACAATTTAATACATTTATTTTCTCAGGAGCCCTTTTGAAGATTGGTCACCCTAAGGATAATTGTAATTTGTCTTGCATATCCCTAAAATGATAAACAAACGTAAGTGTAATTTTCAAAAATGTTTTAAATTTATAATGTTTAAACATTGTAAAAAGCATGATAAAATACTTTAGGATGGTTTTGGCACATAGATTTGTAGGCACCTCATTCCAGTTACAACCAAAATTGGAGGAATACATTCTCTTTTCTAGTTTCACTACTCTACTGGCTACACGGTGTATATATAAATTAAAAATGTTTTGCCCAGTTATTTGTATGGCCGATTAATATATATCAAGCTATCCATGTAAGAATATTAATCCACCAACCAGATTTATTTAATAAACAACAAAACTATTGATTTATTATAAAACAAGACTTATTAAATAAAGAATGCAAAGGTTGTTGCTCTGTTTCAAAATATGACAGTGAAAACATATATCCTTCTCAGTAACCAAACACTTGCATCCATCAATTTAAAAAAACACTTTCTCAGAGATTAGCTATTTTAATTCTTGAAGAAAAAAGGATAAGTTTTTAAATGCTCTTCAATTTAGGAAAAGTTGCAAAGAAATTTTCTGGAAGCCTCTTTGGAGAATGGCTGCATGGGTTTTCAGCTGTTTCGGTGAACTGTCCAAAAGGGCTTATCAGAATATTGAAAATGCTTCTCTTTTGGCAGGCATCAACCAAATGAACACAAATCATCAAATAATCTGAAAAAGCCACACTCCTGACAACCATAAACTCAGACGTGTGACTTCCAGTAAACAAGTGCAAGCAGTTAGCTTAATTCATGTGTCTTGACTTCAGTAAGCATCGTTGTTTTAAAAAAAAAGTGTCCTGCAGCGTCCTGTCAGTGAGTACTTCCAACAGAAAACAGGTCCAGATATCCTGCCAGTACTTCAAATGAAGCAATTTTCACATTTATTTAGGCACATGTCCTCAAAAAATATCAACACTGGAAACACCTCCATAACAATTTCAACTAATAGGAGATAAATTATGTTAGATGTATGAAATAAAACATGAGAAATGGTATGAGAACGTGGAGAGAAAACGTTTGCGAATTGGCCAGCCGCATCTGTTGGCAAGATACTACACTACTCTCATCTGCTTGCTCAATTTGAATCCATAGACACTACTCTTGGGTATTATTCAAACGTCTGTTGAATGTTCAGTACACCAACCGATAGGCACTGCAGTAGGAGCAGGAAGAAGTCTGAGACAAATGGAAATTTAGGAAGAAGTTGAAAGGAGTAATATGTCTGAAATGTTGTTAATACTTACTATTCAAGCTATTCCAAAGTTTTTGAGATTTGTAAAGTGAACACAGTTAAGTGATTTTGGTAAGTTGCACTCAAAACAACAGCTTTAGTTTATTTCTGTAATGCTTAAAGTGATCTGTATTCCTAATGCAAAAACAGCAGCTTGTGCAGTATCTTGTATCTATATTGTGCAATTCTGAACGTGTTTTTAATATAGAAATGTAGAAGTCTATTATGAAAACAATTGTTTTCTCTTGTGCTCTCGCGCTCTC